ATGTAGAAATTATTCTCTAATTAAAATTAATTTTTTTTTATCTTTATCATTATATGATATTATATATTATGTAAACGGAATATATCTTTTAATAACTGATTTGCTATCTACCTTTATATAAATTATTTTATCTATTTTATTTTACTCAAAAATTTAAATTACTTATTCTCTTTTGATTTTTTTTTTGTCTCATACTACTTATTCTCTTTAAATATTTACCCATGTAATTAACCAGTTACTACATAGTTTATTTTATTATTTTAATTTATTTAAAAAAAATGGAAAACTTCAAAAATACCTCTTTTTTCTTAGTTTCAATAATGTCTATAAGTTCATGTTGAGTTGTATTGTGTGCATTGCCAAGACAAACTTTTATTAATTCGAACATAATACAAAATATGTCTAAAATACTGTACTAAAGTTTTGACTTTATAAAAATGCAAACATCTCCTAATAATACCACTATTCGATGAAGATAATAAGAATAGATTATTCAAAGAATGTAAATTCTAACACCATAATTCCAATCAATCTTAAAAAGGCTTAAGCTATTTTCTATAAACTTTAATTTCTAAACACCTTAATAAAAAATAGCTAATAAGTTAAATGATTTTTTTAAAAAAGTTTTGAAATTATTAAATTAGTTTATTCGAATTAGAATTAATTAATAAAATTAGTTGTTGAAGTAATTGATAAATATAAAACAAAAAAATTGTTTATATCAATTTTAATAAAAATATATTTTATATTAAATTTTTTAAGTATCATAATTCTTAATTTTAATTACTTTGAGCTCTATATTTTAAAGCAAATATTTCATTAATAATTAAAAATAAATAGTTTTATATGAAATGAAGCGGAAATGAAAAAGTATTTTAAAATATATTAATGTAAAAATGAAAAATAAATAAGCTCAAATGCTATTTTAGACAGTGTTTGAAGATATATTTCAAGTAAATGAGATAAGTTGGAAACATTTTTATATTTTTCAAACAAAGTTGCTTATGAATTGACTCATCCCACTATCATACCCGCCGAAGTTATTTTTATATATTTTGAGGAAAATTTTATATTATACTTTAATGCATTTACAATTATATGTTCTTTTAAAAATACAATTCTTAAATAATATATCATGTATCCGTAATTTTATGGATAATATTTTGTATAATATAATACTATATCTATGTTAATATTAATCTTAAAATATTGAGTAAAATATATCTTAATCTCAGCTTTAAACTTCTTTAGTTTTATTATCTAACTACTATGTCAATAGTGGTATATTATGTCAATAAATTAAATTGAACCGTCTTGTCCCTTATATAGTTATATTACAAGTCTTAACAAGATAATTTTAGTTCAAACAAATTACTTTATAAAAAATTTAATCCAATAAAAACAATAGTAAATATAACCCAACTTATTTCACATACACTAATAGTCATAGACTAATAAAGTCAACTATAAAATAGTACCTTTTGTCCTTTTTATAAGAAATAAGTGGAATGATTGTTTATTTTACACTATCACTTGCTTCTTCTTCTTTTTTTTTTTTTTTAAAAAAAGAAAGTAATATTTGATATCACTTTTAAGTTACACTAAAAGTAATGGAATTATCATAAAATAACTTAAATAGTAATAAAAAAAATAAAAAGGAGTCGCACAACTTACTTGAATTATTTCTACAAGAGTAATTATATTAATATCTTCGATTTTTATTCCATTTGAATTCTAGTTTTTTTTTTATGCCATTTATTATATTAACTTGTTCGTTTCTTGTTTACCTTTTCTTAATGTAAACAATTTTGAGTTTAGAAAAAACAGAATAAGATCCCAACAAATATTTGGGTAGGCCAACGAGGTTCATCTTGATTCTAGAAAACCCATGCTCCTTACTTATCTCTTTTAACATATCTTTAACACAAGTTAACACATAAACACTTAGGTACAAGTAACTTCAAGAAACGTGGAACGTGAATTCTTTTGAAATATCTGTAATTTACAATATCATATACCCTAGAAATATGAAAAATTATGAAGTAGTCCAAAATTATCAGTGTCCACTTATCTCATCATATAAATTAGAAAATTTAAATACGTGATAGATTGGTCGAAATTATAGGCATATATACGATATTCGTGGTTACCTAATAATTATTATGCCAAAAGGCAAAAGAGAAGGTGTAGCCTGAAAGCATTTTCCTTTTTATAAAGTATAAACCATAATTTCTATATGGAAGATCGTCTAAATGGTCTCTCTGCACTCTCCAACATAATTTGAAAAAAGTGTTACTGAGTAAACAAGGACTGGTCCTTGTTCTTCAATTATTGTCCCATATTTTTCTCACGCTGTGGCCATCCTTAGCAAAAAGTTTCCATTTGAACACATGAGTGCATCAAACATGGATGTGTACAAACTACAAATAACAAGGCAAAGGCCGAAAGTGCTGTTCATTAATAACGAGTTCACATTGGCAAGTTCATTTATCAGACAAAGCCTGATGAGACAACAGTAGCAAGTAGCCAATGACAACCAAAGGAAGACAAGGAATGGACAGATTTAATGAGTTCTTGTGCAGGGGCATGTGCCTCTGCGACTGCCACTTCACTTCTCTTCTCTTTCATACAACCCTGGTTAGGTTTGTGCCCTTTTCGGATAACAAACGCAACCCCATCTTCCTCTTCCTTCAAGGTTCACTCTCTTCAGTGCTAAAGATGGCTACGTGAAACTCATCAGGAGACACACAACCTTAATCCTTGGATTTTGTTGGGGGTTGGCGATTTCAGACCATGGGGCGGATGGAATATGAAGACCTGTGAATGAGAAATGGGCCAAGAGCCTTATTTAAGAAAAACAAAGAGGGTAAGACCAAGGCCCACGTTGGATAAAAAGAATAATTCCTACTCTATGCTATATCTCTATAAATTCAGGGGTTTTGCAACCGTTAATTTCATATGTGATTTTATGGAGCTGTAAACATTTATTGCTGATTTGGTAAAAAAGAGTTATACAACTTCTTATATATATAAAAAAATAATATGAATGTGAATTCAATGTTTACTTCATTTTTAGTGTTTAAGAACCCATTATTTCAAGACATGTGAATTTATGAAGGTATCTTAAAAAAGGTTTAGAAAGTCTGGTACTCTGGTACTACTGTACTAGATGCTGGTTAGTAGCTCCCTACTTGTCACAACCCCACCAAGACCGAACCTTTGGTGTAAAATAATATTATGGACATTTGATGGTCAAGAGCTTGCAATGCACATGACTTTACATCCAAAGTTGTACCTCCTATCTCCCTATAATTGAGGAAAGAAAAAAGAAAATGAGCGATGGGGGATCACGGCATAGCAGTATGAAAGTGTGAATTATTGGATCTGCATCATGCCCTTGTTGTCATGCTACATTTGAAAACCAACGAGTTTGGTTGGACCAAGCGTTGCCATCAAGTAGTTAGTGTAACGATATATCCTGTAACTAATTAAGGAATCGATTAAGCAATTGTGGGCCAATTGGTACTTTCATTCCACTGTTTTCTCGTCAAGTTTTCTTAAATGGGCCGCACATTTGGATTAATTAGATCACGTCTAAGGAATTAAAATTAAAAATAGAAGTAAAAGAGAAAGCAGCACGGAAAGGATAAAAGCATAAATCAAGTATATGCATCATGCAATGTTGATACATATAAATTATTTTCATTTTTCTTTGATGATGACAAACTGATATATCTAACCATGTGCAATCTCAATGATTTATATCTCATTTCAAAGGCAGCTTGTGATACACACCAAGTTATTGGACACACGAGTATAGTATTTGGACACGTGGGTGGCTTCGTTAACAAAGACAAGGAGAGTAGTCACTATTGAGACTGTGACACAAAGGACCAGAATCTTGATACCTACATGTATATTCAGGTTTGTCATGGCGCTTTCCAATCGGAAATATCGGCATCAAGCCATTTGCATGGCAGTTCCGGGACTGGACAAAACCAACTTAATAGGCGTGTCTTTAGGTTATTGCTTTTATGATTTCAAACCAGTTTATTTTATTTTATGTCCACCACGGCAACAATGTATTGTTCAATTATCCTTATCGCTTATGTCATTGAGTTACTGGGTGAGTGTGAGTTGTCTCTTTTAACTGTGGTCTGTGGATAATTGATTTTTCTTTTTTAATTTTAAATAAACCATATATCTTTCGTTTGAAACTGGCTGGTATTGATAGATGGGGGGGGTACTTCATGAATTAACAAGATTTCACGTATTCAATAAGTCAACATTATGCAAGACATACTGTTTGCTAATACATTAGATAATCTAATTTAGATTTGTTAAACTTGAATCATTACACAGAATATGCTAAAATTTGGATGGACCGTGCTACTCTGTTTAGCAAAGGGAAAGGCAAATTGTGTGTTTGGAATAAGGATGAAGATGAATTCCGTGCAATTGAGATAGGTTGCTTTCATTTTTGATTCCTTTACTATAATCTATTTATTTGAAATAAAACCAATACATAAATTGTAATCATATAGAAGCTTAACGACTGTTCTTAAGAGTTTTAACGCTTCTGAAACAAGACTTGATAAATTAATGCGTGGAAACTAAAAATAGTTTGGCTGTTGCATGATTAGCTTGGAAATTTTAATGTGTACCGAAAAGATAAAACCAATGTTGGGTCAAAGTGGGCAGCTGAAGGTCCAAAAGTGGTGACTAATTTTAATTGCGGCTACGCCGCTCCACAACCGTTTAGTGACCTTGTAGTAAGGATGCTTGCCAAGAATGAAGGGTAAAAAACGTGTAATCATTAAAAAAAAAATGCACTGGCATTTGTGAGCACCAGACCAGAAGCAGTTAAACACATGTTTGTTGTCCGTGGTAGTTTGCTGATTGTCATTTGTGTGTGTAGCAGAAGCGATTGTTTTTGTTTTTGTTTTTCATGGTAACATTTCTATCCTCGTATGTTCCAATCCCACCCCATATAACAAAAGAAAATCCAACACTTGATTCATCTGTATTGAAGAAAAAGGCATGATGGTGGTCAGACTTGCCTAGATTTCAGATTTAAAAATTCCTGATCTCGTCATTGACAGAAAGTAAAAGGTAAAATGATAATAAGAAAGCAAGCTAAAAAAGAAAAAAGGCAAGCGCGCGAAAATTTAAACAAAGCGTGCGAGTGACTCTTTTTCTCTGCTTTTTTTTTTTTTTTTTTTTTTTTTTTTTTTTTTGTTGTTGTTGTGAATGGAATTCAAAAGAGGAGTTTCCTACGAAGCGCGGGTAGGTTGTTACATTGAGGTTGAGGGGAAAGGGAAGCGAGTTCTCGAATGGTTTCGCCAACCAGATCTTTAAACACGAGACGTTCCACGTCCAACACCACATCTCCCATCTCCACCGGCCATTCTCCCCACCCCCGCATCTCCTCCGCCATGTCCTTCCTCAACATCCCGCATACCACCTTTGAAAAGTCCTCCGACTCCGATTCCTCCCTCTCCCGGATCCTCTGGAACTCCCACCAGATCTGCTGCCTCTGCTCCCCGCCTGACACCGCCTTCCACGGCGGCAACTGCTGCTTCCGGTTCAGGATCTCCTGGAGTATGTCGAATATCAACCGCCTCTGCAGCGTCGACGCCTTCGAGCTGTCCTTCCCCTTCAAACACTGCTGCTTCTCCAGTAAGAGGAAAACGTCGCTCTCTTCCGGCAAGTAACTGCAAGCTCGCAGAATCTCCGACACGTAAACGAAATCGCTATCCTCCGACGCTGCCTCCTCGCTGCTGCACAATGCTGAACTCCACACATCGTCTTCTGATTCCGCCGCTTGATCTGTAATGTAATTTCACCACATTCATTATCATCGTCCACTTTCCAACGCAAGATTAATTAATTAATTAATTAAATAACCTAAACAGAATTAAAAATGTCTGGAACGGTGAGGTCAGTCCCACGTGATTGTTGTACGGTTAAAATCAGGCACCCCACCCCACCGCACCGCACCGCAGTTTTGAGGCAAGTGAATGAGCCAACTGAGCGATGGCATGTCAACATCCCTGGGATCAAATGATTGGTCCACATTGGTGAAGAGGGAGAGGACAAACCATACACTGTTCTCGTACTTGCACTTGAAACACAACCAAAACAACAGCTTAAAAATAAAACGCCTACACTATGCACTATGCACAAATAAGACGTCATTCCATTTCTAAATAGTAAATACTAAGCAATTAAAACAACACTCACCTTTGTAATCAATGCAGCGTTTGGTTATCGGGGATGGTGAACACCAGTCGTCCTTGTAAAACGACGAGTCAAGCACCGATACTGGACTCGGTTGCAACTCGTTCGCCGCGGTTATTTCTGCTATGCTGTTCAGCAGCTTATCGCACCTATCCAACAGATCTTTCCCTTCCTTGTACTCTTCCATCCTGTACCTCTGCATCCCACGGACAATTCAATTTCAATCAAAAAACATATTCCAATGTGCAGTCGTAAAAATAGTAATAGTAATAGAATATGAGTGAGTCACCTCTGTATCGGGATAGGAGGAGGCGCTGAAGCTGTTGTCTGAAACGGTGGAGGACTCATCCTCTGCCTTACGCTCCATGTTTTTTCTCAACCTGGGGGATCCACCGGTTGCATTAGCATATGCATTCCTCCTGGGGCTGGCCTTAGGCGAATGAACCGGAGACACGGAGACCCTTCTGGAATCCACTTTCCTCTGCGTTTCGGGGTTGGGGAGCTTCCTACGGTTGGGTGCTCTGACTTGATTCCTTGCATTCCGATCAATCTCGCTCCTTCGGGGGCTCCGGTGGGAGTGGGAAGGGGAAGGGGATCGAACCGGTTTCATGAGGACAATAGGAGATTGGTTGGGTTTGTTGGAATGTAGAAGGCCCTTGAGCTGCAAGGCCTCGAGGATGTGCTTGAGCGTGTGGAGGTCCTTGGAAGGCTCGTTAATCCCTCGCATCCGAAGTCTTCTTTCAATCTCAGAGTAGACTGAGACGGTGTGTTTAGGCTCAGGGAAGAAATCAGCGGAGTCGTAGAAGCTCTTCTTCGCCCTGTGCCTAGGTGGATCTGCGCCTGCACCTGCGCCTCTGCCAGTGTCCAATCGGCTGCGGAAGGCACCATCATTATTCCCGTGGACCACATTGGGTCCCTGCGACTGCGACCTGGGTAAACTGTTGGGGTCGAAGAAGCGACACTGCGGCTGCGGCAGCGGCAGGGGCAGGGGCAGATCTCTGGACACTCTGGACTCGGAGGCGGATCTCTGGAGCTTGGCCATGGGCATGGGCACGGGCACGTCCGAATCCGGCAAGGGCTCAAGGCCCATGAGCTTGGCAATGACGCTGGTGGAACGACGCTGCTTGTCCACGTCGTTTTCCGGAGGGATCTCTCTACGCTGGAGGCTTCCTTTGGCGTCCACCACGGCTCTGCTGTCCAGCGACAGCCTGGGAGCCTCTCGCGTGAACTTCCACGAGGACCGCGTGCCTTCCTTGAATTCCAGAACGGGGAGGGCGGGAGCGCCGCCCTTCGCCTCTGATTGGACCTCCCGCGGCGGGGAACGCGAGGGCGAGGCGCTGGGCTTCTCCGCCGTGGCCTGCGAAAAGGAGAGAAAAGGGTTAGCTTGGTGAAGATGCGTGAGGTGTTGGATGAGGAGGGTGCTAGTGTTACCGGAGGGAGGCGTTTGGGGGAGTAGACGCGTTTTCCGGTGAGTATCTGGTTGCGATCGAAGATCTGGAGGAAGCCCGCCATGCAGCCCATCTGCTTGTGGATGTGCTTCTCCAGGTTCTGGTCGCGAACCATACCCGTCGTCATTTTTCTCTTCTCTTCTCTTCTCTTATGTCACTCTCTGTTGTGTTGTTTGTGAAACCTCCATTCTCGTTTTTCACTACTCTCTCATCATATGGATATATGCCTTGCCTTTATCTCACACTCCCTCCCGCTTTTCTGCTCTATAAAACGGGGTCGCCACAATTAAACGCCAACGAACAGGGCCCAGGGATTTTTTTGTCCTTCCACTTTTCCAATTTTACCAACTTGTCCTCCCTCTTATTTTACCACCCCCTTAAATTTACCTATAAACTATAAAATATAGTTTTCTTTTATAATAATTATTTGTCAATTGTTTTAAATAAAAACTATTTATTGTTTCAAATTCGCATGTCATTATTATTTAATCATAAAAGTGTAACAACATGTCTTGCTTTTAAGACTTAAATTTTTAATCCTATAAATTGAATCAATAATTTTGATATAATTTTCGTGACAACATAAAAAATGTAAGAATATCTATTTTAGAATAGTTAATGGAGGATAAATCTCAGGATATTTAGATAACTTTTAAAATATACTAAATCAGGCCGTTTCTCAATTTAAAATTAATTTATAATGACAAATAAATAAGTTTCAAGCACTTATTCTACTTCATAGAGTTTAAAATTAATGAAAACTGGTATCAAAATTGAGTAAGTAAATTGATACTCGTTCATGGTTAAGTGAAATTAACCTTTATCAATTGTTAATCTCAATTTGATGCAATTTTTGTGCATTTTTTTTCTCATACCAAATATCATGACTACATTTATATTGTACCAGAGAATCATTATTTTGTGCGTCCTATTTTGTTGTTTTCATTGATTTTGCAATATACTTGTATTTGGCCCATATAATTTTTTAGTAGTAATTCAGTTATGGCACCTAGAACTACATCACAGAATACAGACATTTTTGCAGCTTAATGAACAATTTACCTTGGGTTCGTAATGGAACTCCAAATCAATGATTTAGAAGTAGTATAAAAACAAATTTATCTGAACTTAGTATTCAGGTTATTTCATATTTTGATGTTATGGGTGGAAATTTGGAATTAAAACCCTGTTACACTAATAAGGTTAGCACAGAAAACTGCGCGGCCACTTTAAGACTTTACACTGTAAGGAGCTGCAGCATAGCCACCGTGGGCAATGCTCTCTGCCACCGTGTCAGGTGTCAAGTGCCTTGTTTTTTGCGCTTTTCAAACAAAGACTCTATTTCTATTGGAAGTGGAACCCATCTCACATGTCTTTTCCCTATGCCCCCAACCCCAACCACTTTTAAGCCATTCAATTCTTGATTCTTCCAATCAAACGCCCCTTATTCCCTCCCCCACGTTACAAAACTCCAATTTTGTTCTCCAAACTCGCACCAGCATGTTAGGTTGTTTTTCATTTCCCATCATCCTACGCTAGTAAAATCATGATTCATCAACACTGCTCCATTGCCATGGTTGCTGGAACAAGAGGTATCTCTTACACCGATCCATGAGGTCCCAGCATACAGAAAGCTTCAACAAAACACTTCATACATAGAGTCATTGCAACAGTGGATAATGACTTATTACTGCCCTTTTAACTTTATGCCCTGTGAACGTGGAAAAACTGTCTAAAACAATTTTGGTCTAATAATCCAGCTTATACAAACATACAAACCCTTCACTATTCAATCATAAGGAATTAAAACAATTTTTTTACTAATTACTCTCTCAACCTATATAAAAATAATAATTTTACATAGCTTAAAAAACTTAATTAAATAGATTTAATTTTCATAAAATATACGATACATCTTCTAAAATATTTTTAACTACACTTATAATAAACAAGTGAAAAAAAAGACATTTTGTGTCCCTATAATAACTTTCTTTGAATATCATATATTAATGGGATAGTGTATGATTATATCAACTATTTTAAAAATAAAACTTTTTTGTAAAAAGATGTTTTTTATTGTACAATTTATATAAGATTAAATTTATGATAAATAATATGTATACCAAAATGTAATACATTTTTAGTTTTAAAAAAATTAAGTATTTATTTTTTAGTTCAGGGAAAGTAGTATCATGTAACATCCTCTTGAAATTTTAATTAATAGTATAATATATGGTGTAGAAAGTGTATTAACAAAAAGTTTTATTAGTATTTCCCAAATTTTAGGGGAATGGAAGCATGAAAGGCATCACATGCCAAACACTTGAACAAGTTCTTTGCTTTCCATTTATAATAATTGCATCTGCATGGCTCATTTGAACTTGTTAGTAAATGCTTATTCAGAGCATGATCTGAACCATTCAGCCAGCCTAATTAAAAAGTAAAAAAGGCACAGCATAATGATTCTCAATGTTGAGGCGAGTACCAAAAGTTTAGTTCACTCAGTTCCAAGGCAAATGGCGACAGTAGTACTAGTAATGTTCTGTTTTGGAGGTAACATAATGTTATGGAAGTTGTTCTGATCGGTTATGGCACCGCTTCTCTTGTTTATCTATTTTCTTATGTGCTTTGATAATTGTTGCAAATCTCTTTTGCAAAGTTCAAGAAAGAAAAGCGGTGAAGCGATCATAGTCTCCTTAACAAGAAGCGCATACTTGGAAAACTGCACAAGAGCCTTTTTCCTAGGGCACTGAAGTGATGGTTCATATGGTTGCACGAATGTAACAAGTATACAAATTTCATGAGGTATTTCTCCATTCCTTTCCTTATTCTTCTTTTATTTATTTACTATTATTTTAGTTTCTGTAACATGGATTGCACAGGATAAACTTATATAAATTATATAAATAAATACTTTGAATAAATAAATTATATTAATTTGTATTAAATAAGTGTTTTTAAAATATATTGAAATTAAATTTAAACCTTTCGTCTGATTACACTTGACGTGATCATAATAACCATTTTGAATTTGTATTAATATATTTATATAAGATAACCATGTATATTAGATAATTTATTACACTAATACAAATATCACATTATTTATATATATTATATGGATTTTAATTTTTGAAAGTTGAGTTAATGTATATTGTCTTTTTTTTTTTCTTTTATATTATTAACTAGTTTGATATATGTATTAACTAAGAATACAAATAGGTTAGACTACTTAACAAAATCCTGTGAGATAACTTGCATTAGGCTTCGGCTAGGTGAGGTATTTTATTAAAGCTGTTTAGTTTTAAAAAATTAGTATGTAAGTCATTTAAAAATCCTGTTAAGTTTAACAGACTGACCCATTTGAATAAATTTTATTATTATTATTATTATTATTATTATTATTATTATTATTATTATTATTATTATTATTATTATTATTATTATATATCAAATTTGTCAATGAAGCACAATCAATATAAAATGCATGTTTTTATTTATAATAATAATAATAATAGCAAATGCTAAACAACTGGACCTATTTCTCCTCCTAATATCAACATATTAGTTTTACTAATATACTAAAAAAACAATATGTGCTTGCATTAAAAAAATGAAAATTAATATTATTTTTATTAGTAGTATTTATTTGCAGTTTCGGAATAACATGAAAAAGAAAATAGGGAGTTGCATAATATAAATTGGGACAAAACTATTCATGTAAAAGTGAAAATAAAAAAAATTATTAAAAGAGGTATCAACATTATATAATTATATACATTCATACCATATTCATATTAGCTGTATTAATTAATGTACACTTATATGCATGACAACATGAGTTATATGTATATTAATATATTATATATGTGATATTTATATTAAAATACTGAATTATGAATTATCTAATATATCTGTGTTATTTTATATGAATTTTAATATAAATTCAAGATGTTCGTTTACAATTATGTATAATATAATCCAATTAATAGAGGGTTATAATTCGTAATATTTTCAAATTTTGGAGGCAAAATTTGTGAATAAATTATTTGAGGGACAAAATTTGTGATAAAGTGAAATTTCAAGACACAAAATAAAATAAAATATAATGTTTAATGATACGTATTTGGTAAGTATAGTAATTGATATAGTGGTAAAGAGGACAAAAATTCAAATTATCATTCACAAATATTTGTATTTATAATTATTTAATGTAATTATGATACTAAATAGGTTAATTAAAAAGTGATTAAATTGAATTACGTAAAGAAATATTTAATTATAAAAATTAAAGAAAACTGTAATTTAGATGAAATTAATCTATAATAAAAATAGTTAGAGATTGATTCATTGACTTTTTTTATATAAAATTCTATAAATTTTTTATTTAATTTATAAATAAATAATTAATTCAACAACTTATATATGTATTTAAATCCTAACTCCTTATGTGAGAAATTATAGGTTGTTTAAAGAAAATCTTAATTCCTTGATAATTTTTGTTAAACAATCTTGCATTAAAGTTAAGGACTGAAAGTTGACTCATGAGATTTATCTCAATTCATTGGTAATAAATGTCTTAAGTGTAAATGTCTTAAGTGTTTTCTTCATGTTGTAGTTTCAAAAACACTTTTTAACCTCAATTAATTCTAATAAATCATGTATTCGATGCAGTGATTTAAAACTCGGATCAAACCGACCGGTCAGATTGGTTGGACTGGGAACTGGTGGTCCAGCCGGTCCGAATCTTAAGTTGGATCGGTTATACAGTCGACCCGTTTCAAACTGGATTGAACCGGTCAATTTTTCGGTTCAACCGATAAATCGGTAGGTCAATCAGTTCAACCACTTTTTTTTCTTATTTTTTTTTAAATTTTTTTAAGGGACCATAAACCACAAAAATAATAATGAAAATTGAATCTCTTAATGAAAGAGCAAAGAGTTTTATTAAATATAATAATGACTACTTGTTCTAATGTATTTGTTTGTAATATATACAACTTAAATAACTTTTATAGTATATTATTAATTTTAGTTATATATTTAATAATATAATATCTATGTAGATATTACATATATAATTTTGTGATATCAATTGCAAGCATATTATATATGTACATATTATTTATATTTTTAATTTATATTAATATACAATTTAACATGCAAATTTTTTATGTATTTTTTATAAAATAAAAATAAAAATAATTTTAAATAAGATAGAAAAATTAAAATTTAAAATAAGATATGAATTTATTAAAATT